CTATTTTCACTTATTTTTGTTATTTGACGCTATTTAGACGAATAAGCAAGTTTTCCGAAGCATAAAATTGAAGATTTCCCGCCAAAATAGAAACTTCCCGATAACATCGGAAATGACGTTCTAACATCATTTTAAAATATTCGATATCTAAAGCAGAAAGTGTTAGCTAAAAATAGACTTATTTATAGAACAATCCCCCATTTCTCACCTCAGGGAAAGTCATAAAACAGTTGGGTGCTAATGACTTTGTGAAAGGGAAAAAGTTCTACACTTAGAAACTTCGAAAGAAGGGATTTGGCCTGTACCTTCCGCGGGCCGCATAAACATTGATAGGGGGCCGCAGGTTGTGCACCCCTGATTTATAGAACATTTTCAATTAATTACATTAATTAAAAATAAAAGAGTAAAGTGACAGTTACTTTGCCTCATTTTTTGTTAGTTAACTTACCGAGTTTCATCTAAACTGATATTGAAAAAGAATAGCTTTCATATTTTCAATATCTGTAACCCATTTTTAGTAATATTAATAACAACTGATTTAATGTCTAAAATTAGCATTGTTTCAACAAAAATTTTGTTTTTTAACTCAAGTTTCAATTTGTTTTTATTGTAACATTTACAAACATTACTTTAAAATACTTCTAATATTGTTCCATTAAAAAAAAAAAAATACATTAAACAGATATCCAGTAAAATAAAGAGAGGTTACAATCAAATAAAATTCTTACTTGGATTTTCTAAACAGCTAAACAAAGTTTCCTCCTCTTCAAAGTTCCAATTATGCGAGAGAAAAAAGTTTTGACCAATCGGATGAAACAACCACTGAAAACAGGGCGGCGGTTGCTGACCATTAGCTGAGCAAGTCTTTTTTGCCAGTCTTAAGAAATACCACTAAAAAAAAAATAACATTAAAAAATAACATCAATTTTAAAAAATTATATACAGTGGAACCTGGGTATACGACCTTAATCCGTTCCTGGTGTTTGGACTTATACCGAATAGGACGTATACCGAACCAAGCTTTTTCATAAGAAGTAATGTAAAAATGATTAATCCGTTCTCATGTAAAAAAATGGCTGGCTTTAAACACTTCGCTTTCCTCGNTACCTGAAAAATGATTATAAGTTCATATAAAATATTCAGAATTGTCTAAATTTTTAATGAGTGAAATTTTTTTGGTCGTTATAAGTTTTATGTTATAGAAACACAATAATATTGATCAAGAATCTTCATAAAAACATGCACATGCCATCAAAAACTAAACATTGCAATATTTAAATATAGTTTATTGCAATAAACTTTAGTTTTAATGTAATGTAGAAAAATTTAAGAAAATGTATAAACAGTTTTCCCAACTAGAAAAAATTTAATTTTTAAAATGGGAATAATCTCAAACCACCTAACTAGACCTTAGGTTACCGTAAGTAAAAAGAAACCAAACAAATTGACTTTTTTAAAAATGAATGTTTTGCAATTCATTTAACAAACCCAATCGAACAGAGTTTCATAAATTAATTAAAAATTACAGTAATAAATCTACAGTACTTTTAAAGTTTAAATTTTAGATGTTAAAAATGAATCCAAATAAAATGTTCTGCATATGACACTAAGAATTAGCAAGAGGAATATATTTATAGAACATTTTCGATTAATTACATTAAAAATAACAGAGTAAAGTGACAGTTACTTTGCCTCATTTGTTGTTAGTTAACTTACCGAGTTTCATCTAAACTGATATTGAAAAAGAATAGCTTTCATATTTTCAATATCTGTAACCCATTTTTAGTAATATTAATAACAACTGATTTAATGTCTAAAATTAGCATT